TCTAATCATTGATAGATAAAATTAATTATTAATTCATTTCCATTTTAACTCAAAAGTGAAAAATCAATTAAAATTAAATTAATACCAGAATTAAAAGTCGCAGCAAGGTCTCCGTTCGGACTTATAGCTAGGTATGTAGACGAATTATCATCCTGCAAAGTATACGTTCGTTTATCTTGGATATTTAAATTATCATGTTCATTAATATTTTCATCCATTTTTAATAAGATATTTCAAAGTAAATGACTTGATATTTGCTTTCTGAAATTAGTATGCGTTAATATATGCTTAAAAAGTTGATCATCTAGTTTTTATTTTAGTCACCTTTTTTAGTATGGTGACATTTTCCTAATTTGTTTTTTTGTGTACATTGTTCATTCGAACTTTATTAATTTGACCGGAAATATCTTCCTATTTCGTTTTTGTAATCTAAACGTGTGTTGTAATTCAATTTCATTTATTTCCATTTTTGCTAGATCAACAAATGATGTGATGATCAACCTTTTTTCAGACCTGCTGTAGTTATTCAGGGATCGTCAGATCAGATATCAAATTTTGCTAAAAAAAATTTGTAGTAATTGATTTAAGTTACTTTTGAGAGGTATACAGTATTTAAATAAATTAGAAAATTGCCTTATTTGTATGTCTAAATGTTTCCTTGGAATAAAGTGTAATTTAATGGTTTTATATTCTTTCAAAATTTTACAAATCATGAATTGTATTAGGGTTTAGACGACAATTAATTTTATTCTTATGTAAACTTTTCTATTTGAATTGGGTTCCGAACTGTTACCTCCTGAATTTGTATGAGAGGTAATTTATACTATATAGTTAATTGGGCTAAATATCATCCGATGCCCCTGCCCAATATTAGGACTGATGATTGGATGAGAATGTGAACGTATTGCATTGCATACGTCATGCATCGACAATATCAGCCATTTGAGGTAGGGAATAATAGATGCACAATAAAAACATTATTTATTGAAAATGATATTAATATTTCACGATTTTAACGAAAAATGGGCGAATGTCGATCACTTGGAAATTCGAAATATAAACAAGGTTTATTGATAAAATAGGAATTAGAAGAACAGTTAGGTCTGTCAATGCATGCCGCAGTGAGTTAGTCGGGAGCAGCCAAATTTTGAAAGTGACACAATCAATGGTTTAATGTTAAAAAATTTTTTAAAAAATTTTTTTTTTTTAATAATCACGAATGTTATTTCGGATATTTCTCATTTGGAATATCCGAAATGTTGATTTGGATTATTATCCGAAGTGGTCATTTTGGAAAAAGGCACATTTGGGGCAAGCGCATTTCTGAAACGATCATTAAACACATTTGAGCTTTTAAATTAGTTTTATGAGACCTTGAATAATGTTACAATGGCTAGTAAATCATTACGCACGCGATGAATTAATTATTTTTAATAAAATTAGTAATCCCGATCGTATTGTTTGCTTAATAAAGTTGGAGATTGACATGAGCGGATCTGAGATTTGGAAGATCAGCATATGCCAAATTGACCACTGGGCAAGTTGACCACGGGACTCCGGCCAAAATTTACCACTGGCCAAAATAAATTCAAGTCACGAGATATAGTAAATCATATGATCTGTAATGTGATTTGCTCCCATAATCATATTTATATATTTCCACAATTGTAATACGTTATTTATAGCTTCATTGAAATCATCAGAATTAAATCTTGAAAGAAACACCCTTGTGGCACTTTATAGCCATATACAGTCAAAGCTCGTTATAGTGAAAACTCTTGGCTAATCATTTTGTTTACTATAATAAGATTTTATTAAGAGTTCACTATGTCGAGAGAAATTTATTATAAAAAATTGAATTGGTGAATTAAAAATAATTCACTATAATCACTATTGACTGTAATTACAAAGTAAATATACCAAAATGATTTCTTTTATAATTATGATTTCAGATTTTATTTTTTTTTTTATTTACTATAAAAATTATTGTTAAACAATTTTTAAAGCTATTTCTAAAGCTTAAAATTTAATTAAAAAATAATATAATTTTTTAAAAAACTTACTTTTTATAAATTATTTAATGTATAAAAAAAGAAAATAAAAATAAATGGAATCAATTTTGACAAATTTTGACAAATTTGAAAAATTCTAAAGAAATAATTAGAATATAACAATTAAGTTAAAAATAATAATAAAATTTACATAGCAAAATTAAATCAAATTATAAAAAAATAATAATAAAAGCTTACAAATATGCTTAACTGCTTAATTTTAAGATTTCTTTTATTTTTTCTTTTTTTTTAAAAATTGATATTTAATTATTAATTTGATTTATACAAATTAAAATAACAAAAGCATAAATAAAAAAATTACAAATCAACAAACCAGTTTTATATCAAATTAAGAAAAATAAATTATTTTTCAATATTATTATAATAATATTTGTAACCAATAAAATAAAAAATAAATTATTTTTTTAATATTTTTTTTTGTTAATATTATATTATTATATTAATTTTTAATTAATATTCAATTAATTTTTCATTTATATTTTTTTATTAATATTTATATTATTAATTATTAATATATTTTTAAATCTCTAACCTATAGATAATTTCAATATAACTAGTCTTAATTGTTTTTTTTATTTTTCTATTAAAATTTTTATTCTTATTTTATTTATTATTATTTATTTTTAATTATACAATTTTTTGAATGAAATTATTATATTAGATTACTTTTTATTAATTGATTTTTTTTCTTTATTATTTTTATTTCTTTTTTTATTTTTTTTTTAGATTAATTGTTTCACTTCAAGATATTTTTAATAAGTTGCATTATTATTTTTTTTTATTTTTATTGTTTTTGATTTTTTGATTATTTTTTTTTTTTATATTTTTAGATTTATTTGACAATTATATAAGTTGGATTATTTTTTTTTGTTTTTTTTTTATTATTCTTTTTAATATTTCTTATTTTCCAGTTTGTATTATAAATGATTTTTAGTTAATTTTTAAATTTGAACATTATATTTGTTGTATTTACCTACTTTTTCTAAATATAGAAGAATATGATAAATAAATAAAGAAGATATGTATTTCTTTTCTGATATATTGATTTGTTTTAATTTAATATTATCTTTAGATAATTATTTATATACAGGTTTTCCTTATCATTTTGTTAAACTTAAATTTTAAATATTTTAATTTCCTATAAGAAATCGAAATAAGGAAATGATATGCTTTTTTTAAAGTTTGTATACGTAATTAATAATTCTATATCAAAATTCCATATGTTTTATAATAATTTATTTTTTTATAATTTTTAAAAAAATTAATGTATACGGAATTATTAAGAAATTTAAAATAACGTATAAATTTTACATAAAATAAAAAAATAAAAAA